CCTTAATCAGTTCACAAATTCCCTAGTCATTGAATCAGTGCCTGAAAACACATGAAAACTTTTTGCTTGTCCCTTTTTTGCTTTCCTGGCTTCATTCTACTTGGACACCCTGTCAAAGTCAACAATTTGTCCTGGATTTTTCAACCCATTTTCTCTCTCCAAGCTCATCCTCTTGACCTTTGCACTCGTTAATTGACAATGATGTTTTGAAATGGTTTCCCTCTATCAGACCTTTGGATAAACGGTGCCAGAAAGTGGACACCTCGGCTATTATGCCCCGTGTAAACGATAAGGCCACAGTAACAATGGGAGTGCTCTTCTCTGGAGATGGTCCAGCGTGCCGCACACACGTTTGTTTTCAGATCTTAATGAGGACATTGAATAGATACAATGCCTCGATTTCACTAACACGAACACTAACCCCCCAGAAATGAATGCTTAACCTTAAACTAACCTAATTGTAACCCTAAACTCAAAACAACATTTTGAGCCTCAAAACATGCCTTCAAATTCACGAGGACTGGCATTTGGGCCTCACATTTATTGGTGGTCCCCACAAGTATAATGACAGTTCTTGGTCCTCACACAGATATTTAAACAAGTACAAACACACACACACACACACACACGCACACAGGGAACATGTTTCTCCGAACCTTTTGCAACTCCGTATATCCATCCATAAATGAGGTAATTAAAAAAATACAATGTAAATTTAAACTTTTATGCAATCACACTGTTAATGAAAGATGGCTAAAGCGAGCACCTGTGTGTTTAGTTTGTTTCATCTTAACATTTCTTTTATCTACTTCTTTGCTCGTCTTTGATGCAAAACTTGCATTTACATGACTAAACAAGCACCTGACCTCATTTGTAATGGAGACTAGACCGCTCAATATTCAACGTGTTCCTTTGTTTATTCTTTGACATGATGAGCAAGACAGAGCGCAAATCTTAACAAGTCTTTTCATGCGGCGAGTTCCTCTTCCAAATCTGTGAAATGTGTAACAAGGAAAGATCAAACTCCATTGAATCGTCTCTAACTGTAAAAATGACTCATGATTTGAGTCAGAAAGAAAAATAATTTTGAAGCCCATTGCTGGTACATTCTTCAATAGTGAGCAACATGTCAACATGGTTTTTCTCAATAAGGCAAAGGAGCAGATGAGAAGCCATCCACAAAAACCGACTGAGTAACCCATTCCTGATCTCGGTGTGTTAAATACTGTGCTTTTTTCAAAGCTGCTGGGGTTTTGCAAGTGTAGAAAAGGTGTCCTTTGGCACTGGAAATACAGTACACTGGGTTACTAACTGGTCTCATAGCTAACCAGATTTAGCTGCTGAAGCATGAGAGTTTTACTTCCTTCTTTTTACTTCCTGATTGACAAAAGGCTCTCTTTCAATCATCTTGTACTGAACTTTTAGGGAGGAGTGGAAATGCTAAAGGAAAGGGATGTACTTCATTTATAACACAAGAAAAAAGTGCTTGAAAAGTGAGTACAACAAGAGTTCAACAAACAGCTTTTGTTGCATTAACCGTACCAAGGATTTTGTGATACTTTAAACCTTGCCAATTATTTGTGATGCCTAAACATAATGACTGGATGAGAGTAAAGATAAAAAGCAAGTGAAAACTAATAAGAGTGTGAAAACATAGCCTCTAATTGGGCATGAACACTGGGCTCTAGGCTGAAAGCTTAAACAACGTCAAAGATTAACTGGAAGATGACAAGAGCCATGCTTCAAAGCAGCCCAGTTCATACATGAGAGATTCAAGATAATGCTCAGCAAGTGCAAAAGTAAAGTAAAGCTGACCAGTTTGCATGACAACATGGGATTACAAAACGAAACATGAATCAACGAGCACCAAAGAGGTCATAGATTAAAATTAAAATCCATGATTGACATTAAAGGCTAAGTTTTCCTGTCAGTGTTAAAATTTCTGCCTCTGAAAAGAAACTGTAATCTTGAGGTGTTTGAATAACTGTGCTAAAGCTCATTTACTAAAGCTCACATTAGTAAATGTGATTTCAGCAGTTAAACAATTAAATTAAATCATCTATGACATTCCCAATGTCGTTTCCTTTCTGCAGAGATTTAAGTCTTCACCACATCTCTAATAATTAATGTTCATGTCCAGGATCACTTGTTGATGTGGCCGCTGTGGCTAAGGTGAGGGCACTAACGTTTAGCTCACCTAAATCCGGGACATCGGACCTCTCATTAATATGGATTCCTTCGTCTGCCTCGAGTAATTTAATGATGACAGGTGATATGGCAGCAATGAAGTGGACTGACGTCAGGCCCGGCTCATTGTCAGAGTGCTGTGCTGTCTGTGAAAACCTCTGCGGTATTCTCTGCTTAACTGCAGTTTGTCTGCACGTCTGATAGCCGAGAGGAGAAGTGATTAAGCTTCCTATGTGGCAGCTGAGATACATGCCATCCATCCTGCAACAGTCCTCCGGGCTCCTGATGAATAGGCAGATTGATAGGCAGATAGAAAACAGACAAGAGGCACATCATTGAAAACTTATGCCAGTGCACCATCAAGGTCAAAGAATTGCTTCACCTTCAGTGTCGTAGAAGGATTACAGATCATGGTTCCCATTCCAACCTCGGGCCAGAATTTCAATTTGAGGTTAACATATCAGGAAACAAAGTCAAATGAACATGACACAAAACTACTAACGAGAAATAAAATGTATTTGCAGTGATATGTAATTCCTGAAATGCACAAGGAAAGAAAGACAAAGTGTTTCAAAGAGATATGGAAATGCAAGATACACAAAGAAGTAACTTTGTCTTTAGTGGCTCTTGTTCCGCCGGTACCACCGGGGGCCTTTTACCGTTGTCTTGTTGAGGTATAATGCAAGATTACAGTACAGAATTTTCAAAATAAGATAACAATAATTGCAGAAAGTTGCTTCTTTTCATCTGGACGCAGTGCTCTCTCTAGGAGAAACATTTCATTGCTCATATTTCAGTCTTAGATAAACTTTTCCCCTGCAGATGAACAAATTGAACTTTCTGGGACAAGATAATAACTAGCTCAGTTTTAAAAAGCTGTTAATGCTAAAATGCCACCCATCAGTCTATTATCTGCTGCTTATCTGGTCTGAGTCACAGGGGCAGCAGTCTAAGCAGGAATGTCCAGACCTCCCTTTCCCGAGTCACCATCTCCAGCCCAAAACACCTCACCAAGGTGCTGCCATAGTCAGATTCCAACTCGATCCTTTAAAGCAGCTCTACAAATTACCTACTCTTTGACAGTTTGTAGCCATAAGTAAGAGTAGGAACGTTGATCAGCCCGCAAATCAGTAGCTTTGTCTACATCTTCAATTCTCTACCAAGCTCTAGAAAATTACTGCTTTGGAAAATGGACCAATTTTTATTACTTCCAGCTTCCCAAATGCCATGATTTGCTGCTTAGATCAATTTTATGTGAATACCAATAGCGTCTCATCTATATTTATTATGTTTTAGACTGTTCGATGGATTTTTAAAAAGCATTTTGAAGATGAGATCTTTGTCTTCCAGTTAGTTTATAGACTAAATAAATCAATAAAATCAGTAATTGCAATGCTATGTACTTGTAACCCGCGAATTAACTACATTTAGTTAGTATTCACTGAGATCTTTAAATAAAGGAATGATTTTGTAGCTTGCTGTTGTCAGCACAAAAAAATGTTAAAGCCCTGTAGGTTGAATTATAAAGAGATGACTCATTGTTTGGCTATTTGGGCCCTCAGATGTTTACTTTACTCTTTTTGTTGTGGTGCTATTGTTGAGCTATGCTGTACCTTTTTCTTAGGACTGCAGGTAATGACACTGCAAGCTAGCATCATTATTTTCCATCTAATAAGGAGCTATTTCTTTACCCCAAATTACACAGCACAGTGGGTAAACATCCCTTTCCCTGAGAAAATAAATATTACACTGTAAGCCTCATTGTGTGCTTCCACTTGCAGTAACCTACCATTTGAAATGCGTGTTAAAAACAATTTTTGTTGCATTAATTGTGAATGGTAGTGTTAGCATTTTCTCACACGTGTTACACATTTTAAACAGGCTGATTTTATAGGCTGGTTTGCTTTTAAATTACAAGTTAGGGAAATCAGTGTAGTTATAAAAGAGCAAGAGATCACTACAAAAAGCTATAATGGAAATTTCCTGTCCACCAGAAAATGTTAAGGATGTTTTTTATGCATGCAGTCAAGAGTGAAGATGGAAAATTGCTCATAAAAAGTTGAATGATGCATGTGTAGATGATATCTTTTACCATACAGAGTAACAGCGTCTGTGTTTACAAACAGGGTTCGTATGCAAAGAGACGCCATTTCAGTCCACTTCCAACCCCCAGCGTCACTGATTGACATCTTAGAGCTTTTTATTTTTTATGCACTTCTGGCATCTCCCAAAGAAAGACCCAAATTAAGGGTTATTGTTGTTGCCAAGGCAACCTACTGGGTAATTTTCTGTAATTTTCCGGGAGGGATTGCTATTGACGGTGAAGTCCATATCAAGATGCTGTATGCTGCAAGGAAACACCTACAAACACAAAAGTCTATTTTTCGGGGGAGGAGGTGTTCTGCCGCAGTGAGGAATGTCCCATAAACGGTGTATAATTTCTAATATAAATCTTGGCTTTTGTCTGAATGCATACAATTATTTGCTTTATTTGAGCCCGCTTAGTCATCACCGCATAGATTAAACCCTGCATACAAAATGTACATTCTCTCCCGCTAAGCTGCCTGAGAAAGATAAGCCTCTAAAGATTGATAGAATTACTTCCAGCATCATCGCCCTGTTTTCTCGCTGTGAAATCTTATGATCAAAACGCTTCACCCCGTGCTGTTTCCACATGAAAATTCGGCATATCTTTCCCAGAGTTTGACACATTGTATAAGCGGAGCGTGTGCTGACTCATGGTGAGTTTTTGCTCATTGTCCTCTTTCCTTTGTGGATCTCTCCCCCCCCACACCCTCCACCCCATGCTGCAGCTCTGCAATGGTGGCTCTGTGACAGATCTGGCCAAGGGCATGCTGAAGAGAGGAGACAGAATGGATGAATCCATTATTGCCTACATCTTGCACGAGTCCCTCATGGTAAGCATTGGAGGGGGGGGTGACTATGATGTACCCCAGAGTAAACGGGGTGATTTTACAGGCAGGTGCTCATCAGGATAAAAGAAGCTGTTAACCTCTTTGTTTCGCAGGGCCTCCAACACCTGCACATCAACAAAACCATCCACCGTGACGTCAAAGGCAACAACATCCTATTGACGACGCAGGGAGGGATCAAGCTCGTGGACTTTGGTAGGTGCCTCTTTTTGCCTTTTTAAAAAAAAATTTGGCATCACTGTCCTCTAATCAGCAAGAAACACGTTATAGCTCTATTTAACAAAATCAATTACCTTCAGCTGTCTTACAAATAAACTGTGACAACAATTAGTTTCCCTGAGAGGCTGGAATACATTTACACAATCCAACAACGTGGTGGATGGTTATACTTTTCCACTCTGCCACAAACAGCTGCAGACATTGCTGCTGCTCCCACTGCGATTTCTTAACCAAATGAGGCTCGCTGTAGTCCCTGGGCTCAAGGATCAGGATAGGCAAATTGATTCTGATGGTTTTCCGGAGATGACTCACCCCTCCCCAAAAACCCCCAGCTGCCTGTTTTCATTACAAATAAAATCCCCCTCTCCATTTGTGCGTAGGTTTGCATTTACTCCTGCTAATTGCGGGCTTCTCTTAAAAGCCCTCTCCTAACAATGAAGCGCAAAGTGCACTGCTTTTACAGAAGAAGAACAAGAGGGTGGGGAGGTATTAATGGAATCACTTGATACTTGAATGGGAAGTAGCTAATACTGAGCCAGAGCAGCTTCTTCCTCCTCGCGCTGCTGTCATGGAGATTCTCAGCACCTGTTTGTTTGTTTGATGTTTACTGATGAAGTAGATCGAGATGTCCAAACTCTGCACCCAGAAGCATCACATAAGTATTCATATAATTAAACAGAAATATGATAATGCTTCTGGTGATAAGAGATGAATCCTAGGATCTGGTATTCTTGGATTCTTTTAACAGTTGTGTGTTGTGTGTTTTATTTGTGCATACAGAACATATTTGCTTTAAAAACTAAAAACAGTTACAAAATATTCTGAACGGAATGGCAGAAAAACATCCGTCGTAATCGGTCAAAACTATGGCGTCAGTAATAGTGGCTCTTATTATTGCATCTGAAAACTGCTTTATTCAGCTAAAAGCCCCCATTAAATACCTCTTTCTACTTAATTTATTAATTGTGTTTAGTGTGATTCATTCAAAAGTATTTATGCTGAAAGAAGAACCAAACAATCCTCCATGAGTTTGTAATTTCTCAAATTATTCTGTATGATCTGGTGGTTTGGCCGAGACCACACATGTTGCTTTCTTCGTTTTTGCTGGTGCACACTGAAAATCAGCTGTCACATCTTCAACACTGTGAAATGCTGGAGTATTCATAGACTAGAAAAAGTAACCTGTTATTGGTTTCGGTTTTAAAGTGAAACAAAACGTTTCAGTCTTGTGCAAAAGTCTTGAGTCACCCCTCATGTCTTTATATTTTGTTTCCAAGGAGTAAGGCCTTCTTCTAATTCTGTACTTGACAAATAGTTCTCCCATCTCTCTCTGAAGGTCTTTCAAAGATTTTCTTTGACCATTTTCAGAGGATTTCTTTTGTTTTTGTTTTGTGTGTTAAGCCACTTAAGCCCAACCTATGAACCATTCAAGCATAAAAAAGCACCTAACTCAAGCGATGAACCAGTGTCGTGTCTACACATGAAAGACAACTTAGCAAAGAATCAGTTCTAGATGGTATCTGTCTATGCAACTTTTGCCTCACTCTGATTTAAATTAAAATGCTATAAACACTCACAGATGATATCATACAAATTGTCTGAAGCTATTAATCAGGTTATTGCAATCCTGGCATCTCCAACAGCATCCAGCCATTATTTCTGCGATATATCATCTCTTGCTTATTTACAATAAGAACATCTTATCAAGTGTTTGATGTTTCTCTGGCTCAACCTGTAATGAATGTCCAAGATAGGAAGGATGCCCTATCTCTGAAAAGAATTTATTACATACAAACATTGTTGGTTAGACCAGAGAGCCGGTTTCAATTCACCGTGTTTAGTGCTAAGCTCATGAAACTCTCACAGGAAGTAATTATGTTTAATGTTGGGACACGTTATCATCAGTAAATTGTTGCTGCATTCACTTTAAGGTATAAGAAAGCAGTGGCACCGCTGATCAGCTTATCTTCTATGAATAAATATTTGCCGCTGTGAATGACTGTTATCTGTTCGCACCATATTTGTGGTTGCTGGTTAGAAGTAATGCATGTGGATCAGTTTAGGAAAGATGTTAAAAGAAGCTGTATTATAACAGGAAATAAAGTTTATATTAAAGTGTGGGTTTAAAGGAAGAAGAGCCACAGATTTTCCTGACAGAAATCTCTCGACATCTACTGGATGGTTCCCACTGGTTGAGGTCTTATCTATTTTAATTCCCTGGCAGATCAAATCGGTCATTTGTCCTGTAACTTTCAATTCAATTCAGTTTTTATTTTTGTGCCAGATCGCAACAGTCACCTCAAGCTGCTTCATATTGTAAGGTAAAGATCCTACAATAATACAGAGAAAACGGCAACAATCAGACGATCCTGTTTGAGCAAGCACTTGGTGACAGTGGCAAGGAAAAACTCCCATTTAACATATGTATTGAAAACCACAAAACTAAAAAATCAAAAGCTTCTTGGAAGTCAGAGACACTGTAAATAGCAGGGTTTACCCAATAATTAAACTTTGCTCCCCTTGCACCATAAATAATAATCCATTTTTATAGTTTTTAAGTTTTTATATTCTTGCCAGATTAAAAAAACTGTCTGCTTTCAAGTTTTCTCTTATCATTCTATAAAGGGTTCACATCATATGCAGCACATTCAAGTAAAACAAGCTGTATGCATTACAGGAATTGTTAGGTTTGAGTGCTGCCAGCACAGAGATTCATAGGATTTGTATGGAAAATAAATAAGACCACAAAAACAAATGTTGTTCATTTTAGTCCACTAGATTAGTCTAAATTAAAAGGTCCATTTACTTTTAAAGTTGTAACTAGGGACACCACTGTATTCCTAATTGTGTCTATCAATTTTAAAGACAGCTGTCAGTCTCCT